AAATATGTGACCCAAAACCTTCATTCTGCGGACAACCTTGTGGTAATTCTGGCCATATTTATTGTCCAACAATCGGAGATGATAAGTGTGTAATAGCTGCCGCAGATAGCCAAATAAAGGAACTTCAGCTTCTTCGAAATACCTTTGATATATGTTCAACTGATGATAGCACTGGTTGGAATATAACCCATAATGCCAATTGTGACATTAAACAATTCCAATGTCAATAATATAGTGTCGGTTATATTCATCAATTTTCATCGATTATTATTATTATTACTGTTTTAATGAATGTTAGTTAATTAAGTCTTTTTTAGTGAAGAATTTCGTTATATGATTTACAAGCTTTTATTATTTAAAATGTTTAAATTTCTAATATAATAATTGTAATATTTAACTAAAGAAATTCATTTTTTAACAATTTAGTTCTCTCATTATCTTACTTAAATGTTTATTTACTTTTTTTAAAATATCATAATCATCCATGGTATATTAATGGAATAGTATAAGATTACATTTACTTTATAATAATAAATTGACACATTAGCATCGAATTCAGAACATCTATAATACAGAAATTAACTTAAATAAATATGAATAGTAACAAATTAGATTCCTTTAATTTTGAAAAATCAGGAAGAAATGACTGCATGTATCACAGAAAATCATCATTATAATAGTATAACAATGTGATTTTTTAATATTAATCAATTGAATATAATTTCTTATGAACAATAAAAGTAGTATCTGTACTTAATATAAATTCTGACAAAAATTAGAAATGTTAATATTGCTAAAATAAATAAATAGAATAATATTTTACGGGATCAGAAAAAATATAATTATTTACTTCAAATGTTATTGACATAATTTTGAACCATTCAATTCTCAAATATTGACATTTATAAGATGTAAATTTGATTCTAAAAGATCTGTCTCTTCAATCTTACTACAAAATTTAAAATAAAAAATATGAAATATAAAATACTACATTTAAGTAAATATGGTAAATATATTTGAAAAAGCAATATAATTATATTTTTTAGCTTTTTCAACAAATAAAATCACATAACATTGATAGAAGATGCAGAACTGATCAACAATGTTTGCAAATAAAGCTTTTTTGTAGATAAGTCTACATTACCACCAATTAAAAATTTTATATAATCATAATTGAATTACTTTACTTTATAGAAAATTATTACAATTATACTTATATTTAATTAAGAAATTGATAAATCATTATGTGTTCAATTAAATTCAACAATTAATTTTTCTTTAAGCAATATTTTAGTTGTATAAAATTTCACTATAAAGATAAGTTGTTTTTTTTCTTATAAATAAGTTAAATATATTACTTTATTAACAAAAATATATATAATTTTATGGGAGAAAAAAGGTTCACTTAGGTTGTAAAGTGTGTTATTCAGTTTATGTAAATATAAAAAATTTATTTTTATTTTATAAAAATTTTATGGTGAAAAGCTTTTAATAAATGTTTTAAATTTAAATATAACTTAGCAAATAATAATAACTTTATTAAAGTAAATAATTTATTTATTTCTTTTATTTTTTTGAATGATACTATCTTAGTTAAATAAATAATATTAATAAAAAATACTAAAAAATATGTAGTAATTTAAGAAACATTAAATAATAATAAGAAAATAATAAGAAATAGTAATGCTAAATATATTTTTACTAATTTAAAATTAATTTATTATAGCAAAGAATAAAATAAAATTCTTGTTACTTTGAAATATGAATTATATAAAAAAAAATTAATTAGAAAAGAATATTTAGATATATAATCAAAGTATATTTAAGGTTTTCATAAATAAATTAATTTTTATTATTATATATTATTGTTAAAATAAAATAAATATTATACAAAAAACTTTGATATATTAAAATATTAATAAAAAATTTAAACAGATTATACTAATGTTATAACTAGATTAGATTGATAAACGTGATGCAGTATGTTACAGATCTAAATATCAAACATATCAGATATAATTGACATAAGATATATTTGATATATCTGACATAATGGATATACTAAACATATTTAATATATTTGATTTATTTATTATATCCATCTATATAGTTAATTTAATATAAATAGAGAATGATAAAATCATATAAACTTTAATTTGCTTTTAGTTCACTTTTAGTTTTCCTTTTAGTTTACTTTAGATACACATTTAGTAGTTCTTTTAAAGATACCTGACCTAACCTTCGCATTTAGTACTTTAACTCTTTTGATTTTTCTTATTCTTTCTTATTTTCTTTATTTCTTATTTCTTTATTATTTATCAAAAATAAACATATTATTATACTTCTGAATTATTTAAGTTGTCTTACTTATAGTCTTATTAAAAATACACTACCGTATAAATTATGAAACTTGAGTTAAACTGAATTGAGTCACTATGTAAACTTAAAAAAATCACTACTTGAACACCTTGTCTAACTGTTGCAATTCACAAGGATTGTATGTTAAACATTTAATAATAATAATAGAATCCTCTTTTTCTATTTATATAATACTATGAGAAACACTCTATAAACAACTTTAGAGAATTAATAAAATACTAATAAACTCATTCTGCTATACACAATAGATAAGAACGTAACTTTAGAAAATCTACTAATAATTTTTTTTAACAGATGATCCATCTTGTATCACTTGTAATCCACCTTCTAAGAAAAATTTCACAACCATTTCTTAACTTCTTTAAGTAGACACAAAAGGTTTTAAGGATATCATTATACTAGCAAAGTTTAGAAGTCTTTCAAACTGCAAACATTGCAAAACTACTGGTATACAAAGAGTATATTACAGACAGACACTTAACACTCTTAGATACAAAAACATACTATACTAACCTTTAAATAAGCAGTTACCTATTGTATTTGGAATTGAAACTGATTCCTTTTAGAAAAAATTTCAAAGTGATTTACTTACCTATCTCAATATATCACTTGTAAACCCAAGTCAAAACTCTTCTCCTTCTAAAATAACTGGACCTTTCAGAATAACCATTCTTAAAAGTAGTGATATTTCTAAATCAACTGAAGAAAATCTCTCCTCTCTTCAAAGAAACTACTCACCTGAAGAGACCATAATCGCTAATACCACTCCTAATAGAAAAAATACTAGTAAATGAACTTTAGGTTTTAATGAATCAACTTATAGCTCTTTTAGAGGAATAGGATAATCACCTAAGCTCAACCTTTGCAGAAACTTCTAATGAAGAAGAAGCAATTTCAGATCAAAAGGATACTAGCCTCTTACATTTCTCAAAATACAAACCTATCATTAACAGAATTAAGATAAAAAGTCTAAGAGTAAAGGGGGTAATAAACAAAAGAACTATTGCTTCCTTTTCTACTAAAGCTCTGAACGGTTCAGATTAATCTGAAAATTTTCGGTTTAGATTAACTTCAGTTCAGTTTTGAATTGCAAAAATTTCAATCCGAAAATTTTCAGTTCAGTTCAAATTTTTTTCAGATTATAAATCTAATCTGAACTGAAAAAAATCTGAACTGAACCGAAAATTTGGATTAATCCAAAATTTCAGATCATTTGAAATAATAAAATTATCATTCCAAATGAACGATAAAGAATTATTTGATTAAAATGATTAAATTATCATTCTAAACAAATGATAAAAGGATCATTCATTTAGAACGATCAAATTATCATTCTAAACGAACGATAAAAAGATTGTTTAATTGGAATGATCAAATTATCATTCCAAATAAACAATAAAAGAATCGTTCATTTGGAACGATCAAATTATCATTTCAAATGAATAATAAAGGATCGTTTGATTGGAATGATAAAAGAATTGTTCAATTAGAACGATAATTTGATTGTTTCAAACGAATGATAAAAGAATCGTTCAATTGAAATGATTAAATTATCGTTTCAAATAAATGATAAAAGAATTGTTTATTTGGAATGATTGAAGTTATCATTCCAAATGAACAATAAAAAATTGTTTAATTGGAACGATGAAATTATCGTTCTAAACAAACGATAAGAAAATCGTTCATTTGGAATGATTGAAGTTATTGTTCTAAATAAACGATAAGAAAATCGTTCGATTAGAATGATTAAATTATCATTCTAAATGAACGATAAAAGAATT